TATGTATACATATTAAAATGACTCTTATCAAATCTATTATATATCTTATAGTCAGTGACATCTTGAAATCCTGGAAGCACTCTAATATATTTCATAATATTAAGCTATTACTACATCTAACATTTAGAATTTTTGCATCGTTTAAGTGAGATTCTTAAATATTTTTTTATTTTTTGTTATCAAGGATTAGCCTTACCTTGGGGGGTGAAAAGCCTCATTCGTACTGAGGAATGGTTTAAATAAAATTATGCATCTTTTGATGATTTGAATAGACTTGCCCATAAACTTATGGTCCATTTTAAAAAAAATGGATGATTACTTGATAACTGTTTCCATAGTCTAGTTGGAAGTGTATGCCTCGCATGCCATTTATTTTCTTTCCTATAAATTGTATATATTTTGCTGTGATTTATTTGTTTGTTTTTTTAATTGGATATCACAGGTTATTGAGAGACTCCGACTTTTGACTGCTGATCTTGGCTGCTGCTTCTCATACAGTGCATTTAAATTTGGTTGAAGTGACTTTGGATTGTTAATCTTGATTCTGGTGCTCTGCTGCTTCTTGCTTTTTTTTACATTATTTTCTCAACCACAGGCCACACAGTACTGTGGCCTGGCAGTCAAGATGGCAGTTCATGTTAGAGCCAGAATTTAAGTCCAGGGAGTTGGACTTCAGAGCTCTCAACCGCTGTGCCTTGTCTCTGAGTGCTAAAAATTATTTTTATTTAAAAAACCAAAACCAAAGCATAACTAATTCAACAGTTTTCCTTCTGTAGTTTAGTTAAAAGCATCCCAGTCAAATGAAAATACTCTGGCAACTTGAGGCTTTATTTATTTTATTTTTTTAGAGATGGGTTTCCCTGTGTTGTCCAGGCTGGGGTGCAGTGGCTGGTCACAGGCATGATCATAGCATATGGCAGCCTCAAACTCTGGCTGTAAGTGATCCTCCTGCCTTTCAGCCTCCTGAGTAGCTGGGACTACAGGCGCATGCCACCGTGCCCATCTTTGAGGCTTTATTTATTCTTTTTTGTCAGCTCTTTGTTGTTAGGAAAACTAGATACAATTCAGAGGCAATTAAGGACTTAAAAGATCCTTTTTATAGTATCTGAATAAGATTATTGCTGAGGTCAGTCTCTAGGTTGTCTGCAATTAGTTGGGTTTTACATTTTACACATTAATGTCACTTATCAGTTACCAGTTGTACAGAATTATAGCTGAATACCTTAGCAGTATAAGAGTTTGGGTGGAGTATATAGAACACTGGGCAGTCACTGAATTTTAAAGTATGTATTATAGTTTATGATTTGGCTCTGGCAGGGTAAAGCATACATGTAGATATTTACGTAATGAATTGCAATATCCTATTTTGTTTTTTTCTGAGAATAAAATTCAAAGATGCAAGCCAGATGACTGTCCAAATCTCATGAAATTTCCAAAAAGAAGTAATTTCTTATAATGTATTTTATTGACGATATTCTAGATAGCCAAGAATATATTTAAGACATTTTCTCAGAATTCCAGCTGCCAGATTGCTGTTCTTATTCTTCAAATGATTATTTTTTAATTGGTGAAGTTTAATTTTTATTCTTACTTATGTTTCTGAAAGACGAGAAGAAGTTCATGGAGAAGCACAACGGGTATTACGGTGTCTTCCTGGTCGAAACAGAAAAGAAAGTGCTTCTGAGCAGATGCCTTCTTTCCCAGAAATGGTATATTATATCCAAGAAAAGGTATGACATTTAACTTCACATAATTTGTTTGAATCATATAATGGATGATGAAAATAAACATCCATTTTTAAGTGAAAAAATGTAATTACTAAATGTTGAATTAGAAAAGTTTCTAGCAATGTTAATGTTAATATTTATAATAAGAGGGTGGTACAAAGTAAGGAGAACTGTAATTCTCAATGTAATTGGTATGTTTTGCCTAAATATGAGTTACTTCTAATTCTTTTCATGCTCATCAACATTTTGGCTGTGTTAAAAAATTTTTCCCCTTAGTATGACATGCCTAAAAATTCATCTCCTGTGTATTTTTAAGGGCATTCTTCAGGGTATTATAAGTTTAAGGATGCTTCAGAGAGCAGTTTATGCTTTTTCCACTGTGATCGTAAGAGAACATCCCACCTGCTTTTGCAAGCCTCTGCTTTTGCAGAGTGTGTTTTGCTGGTAGATCACAACATCGGCATAATGATTCCTCAGCCTTGACTCTGTCTCACTTTTTACATCAGTGTTTCCTTGAATATGCTGGAGGATACTGTTGTGCCTTTCACCTCTACTGGTGGCCGTGACTTTTTGCTGGGTAGGCACCTTAAGGGAATTGGAGGTCAGCATGGAGCAGCATGATTCTGTTTTCCATAGCGCAGTCATTTGTGATCAGGAGATTCTCTGTGCTCTTATTTTCGTCCTACCTCCATTATTAATGAAAATAACTGGCATGCAGTGGCCTAGGGTGACCATGTCAGTAGATGTCTGGAATGGTTTATTCTTTTTTAAACAAGCCAGTAAAAACACTGGGGACAGGGAAGGCAAAAAACTGTTATTTGGGATGTGAGGGACATGAAAAATCAGCATAATTAATAGGAAAATGTTTTGATTAGAAAAAGACAGAAGCAAACCTTGGACATATAGCTGGAAATACAGTTGTTTTCGAGTTGAGGAAGAGCACATGTGCTCAATTTTTCAGTAATTGTTTGTTTTGGGCTTTCTTAACTTAGGCTTCCCATCGAATGAAAACTCCAGTCAAGTACATGACTGGGACCACTGTCCTTCCATTTAACCCGGCAGCTTTTGGAGAGGTAGAACTTTCATGTATTTCTATTTGCTTTTTGTTAAGGTTTTAAAAGATTATGCTACATACACCCAAAGAGATGTCTGTCATTTTTTGTGTTCTAGGTAAACCCATATTGTGGTGTCATTGTTCTTCACTAGGTTGTTTATTAAAAAAATAATAATTTGGTAATTGGTATTATTTTAGTTCATAGTGGAGTCTATAAATATATTTATCTCTTTGAGATACTTTTTGTGAAAGAACTGGATGCTCTGTAGTAATTACTGTTGGGATTTTGCAGCAAGTTAGACTTGAGTTTTAAAGCCAACATATTGTTGAGGTTGTTTGGGTTATTTAGTTTTGAAGGTTGGAGAGGATTAATTTACAACTGTTATTGAGAGAAATTCTATTTTCTAGATCATTCACTTGCACTAATTAAATTACAAGAGATAATCTTGTTCAGAGTGAGTAAGAATATTCACAGTGAGTTGCTGCCTGTCTTATTTTAGCTATCAAGGAAAGAGCTTCCAGAGGACTCCTTAGTAGCCAGTTTATATTAGAGGTTTTTATAGGGTCATATTCTCCTGTAGATGATTCGAACCCGTTTTCTCAATTCTTGTGTCAGTGGAGATTAAACACAATGGGAAATATACAGGAATAGGCCATTTGCCCCAGATTTATGCCTAGTCACATATAAAGTGACTTTTAAAAAGTAATGATTTTCATTGTAATTTTCAGACCTTAAAAGTTAAGTTTGTGTTTTAACTCCATTAAAAATACTCTTTGGATTTGTAAAAGCTTGTTATGTAAGTTTTGTTCCATTGTGTTAATTTAGTTGACATAGTGAGTCATATTTTATGGCTTCCATGAGGATTGGAATAGCTTTATGAAGGAGGGTGGGAGACTCAAAACTGGAAATTGTCACTTTGAAGAGTACCCTCCTACACTGACTTTTGGAGAAGCTTAACTGGCATGCCTCTTCCTTTTGTTTTTAGATAGTTTTGTACCTGCGCATGTGCCTAGCTCACAGCGCGGGGGTGGTGCCCACCTCTCAGAGTTTGGCTGATATGCAAGATCACGCCCCAGCCATTGGACGCTATATACGGACTTTAATGTCAGGCAGCCAGACGACATCTTCATCATCTTCTAATAAGAGTGGGGAAACCAACCCTGTTCAGATTTACATTGGCCTGCTTCAGCAGTTGTTAGCAGGTGTTGGAGGTAGGAAGTCGTGATAGTGACATTAAAGCATTTAAGCATGAGTCTAATTTTAAACTCAGCTAAGAATTTATAGCACAATTATTCTCTCTTCACTTCTGTAACTTAACATTAGTCTTTGTTTCTTTTCTAAACTTATCTGATTCATTCTTGATACACTTATTCTATCTTCAGAAAGAAATGCTGACAATAGATAATATATTTTTACTTTGGAAGTGTGTGTGAAGAACAAGATAATCCCTTTTTATAGATAACTAATTTGTAAATTTGCTGCATTGAATTACATACTATGTTTAGGTTGTGTAATTTGGGGGTTTTTTGGTAGAACTGAGGGAATGTGTGCTAAAGCAGTAGCCTTATACATTAAAGGAATTTAGTGATCCCTGTATGTTCATTGCTTTTCTTGAAATTTAAAATAGTACCGTATTCTTGTTTAGGTTTGCCAGTTATGTACTGTCTGTTGGAAGCTGTGTCAGTGTATCCAGAAAAACTGGCTACCAAATTCGTAGACAAAACAGAATGGATAAAGGTATGTCCTGTGCATGTATATTTTTCTTTGATCCTGTATATTTCATACTTTAACCCCCTGATTTCTTTTTTCTACCAATGTTCCTATGACCTTTTCTGCCTTTAGGTCATTTTGAGAACTCCCTCATCATCAAACACTGGGAAGCATGTAGGTCAATATATTAATATCTCATTGACCCATCTGGGTGCGAGTGGGAGATGAATTGAGAGTCATATGAGTATAAAATAATTCCTTTTCTGTTTCAAAGTTTTTTTAAAAAGCAATAGATTTGTATAGTTTAAATTAAAAAATGTGTAAAGTGTCTCCTCTCTACAGCCATCTTCCACCTATCCAAATCCCCCCAACTTTTTGCCCTTTCCCCTCTCACCTCTGACAAACATACATAAGTAATCACTTAACTGACTTATGACATACTTTCTAGAGTTTACTTATGCATATACATGCAAAAATATGCATTTTTAATTTGTCTCCCTTCTTTTACACAAAAAGCATACTATTCATGCTATTTTATACCTTTGACTTAACCATGGAACTTGGAGCTATTCCTCTATAACTATGGATAAAGCATCCTCTTCAACAGCTTCATCATTTTTCATTGTATGAATGTACTATAATTTACTCTAGATCTTTATTGATAGTCATTAGAGTACTTCCATTCTGCTGCAATGAATAAGCTATCATTTTGCATATGGGGAAGAGTATGTGTTTTAGATGGATTCCCCAGAAGTGGAAGTACTGGATCAGTGCAAAGCACTTTTATAATTTTGATAGATATTTCTACATCCTCCATGCGGTGGTACCAGTTTACATTTCCACCAGCCGTGTATGAGGGTATTCTGTCCCATGGTCACACCAAAAGGGTTGCCAGGCTTAGCAAATAAAAATACAAGATGCTCAGTTAAATTTGAATTTCAGATAAACAGTGGATACTTTTTTTAGTACAAGTATGGCCTATTCAGTTTTGTGTACCTCTTCTGCTACATAATGTAGTTCTTTTTGGAAAATGGCAGCTTGAATTATGGTAAAATGTACAGATTTTATCTTTTTAAGTGTGAAAATATGAATGTAATTTACCAAGAGGTGTGAGTTTTGCACTTTTCTGGAAAATCTGATCTCATGAAATTGCTTCTAGTTTAAAAATGCTTTTTATTCTTTATGAACATTTGCTGATTTTAAAATGATTTTGTAGTTTTTGAGCTTTGGTCTCTTAGATCAGGGATTGTCATACTGTGGTCCAAGGGCCAAATATGGCCTCCTCCTGTTTTTGTGTGGCCTGCAAGCTAAGAATGGTTTTTATGTTTTTAAGTGTTTGAAAAAAAGGATCAAAAGACAAGTAACATTTAATGACATGTGAAAATTATAGCATCCGTGACGTTTTGTTGGAAGATAGCCGTACCCATTCCACATATATTGTCTGTGGCTGCTTTTGCAGGGCAGTGGCAGAATGGAGTAGTTGCAATAGAGACCAAATGGCCCACAATGCCTCTTTGACCCTTTATGGGAAAAGTTTACTAGCTTCTGTTTTAGATCATCTGTGTATTAATTTGTCCTGTTTTCTACTTGGGTAGCTTTAATTGAAAATGTACCTAAGATTTTGGTATATTGAATTGCTTTCATTTTGTTTTGAAACAATAGCTTGTGTTTTTTTCTCATGGATGCCATTAGATCGAACATGATAATGTATAATTTAGTCTTTTAATTTTAAATGTTAGATACTGTCAACAGGAAGACGGTTATATGTAACGTATATATTTATTTTTCTGTACCACTCAGAGTCTGATGAATAGCAGTAAAGAAGAAATGCGTGAACTGGCAGCATTGTTTTATTCTGTGGTGGTATCAACAGTATCGGGAAATGAGTTGAAGTCAATGATAGAACAGCTTATAAAGACTACAAAGGACAATCATGTATGTTACCAGCTGTGTCTTTGTTCTTTTTTGTGGGAGATAGGATTTTACAAAAGAATCTAGCCTATTTTTAGTTCTTATGTTCTCATATGTAAAATGAATTTACAAATACCTTGCTTTTGTGTATGTAGAGATTAAGTGAGATAGATAATACATGGATTCAGTCCGTTCATTTAACAAATGTGAGTGCTGTGCCTGATGAGCACTGTTTTAGGTGCTAGGAATACAGAGTGGTAAGTAAATACATGAGAATTCCTGGTCGTACATGGCGCTTAGAACCTACAGCTGTACCACCTAGAACACACCTGATCTCGTCTGATCTTGGAAGCTAGGGAGGGTCAGTCCTGGTTAGTACTGAAGGGAGACATGTTTGCTCCTTTTTTCTTCCATATTTATTGCTGCTTACCATTGTGCCTATGAAAAAACAAACTTTGCTGTCAAATAGTTTATTGGCTGTCTTGTGTTTAGAGGTTTTAGCAATTAGAAATAGGATCTGTTCATTGTATTTTATTGGCACTAGGGAGAAATTATGCTTGAAAATTATGATTCTGTACTTACATAAGTTCTCTAAGCTAGAAGAAAGGGTGGGTGCTATAGGAGCATGTAAGTGAGTCACCTTACACAGAGTTGGAGTGGGTGTGGGATTAGGGATGTAAATCCTGAAGTGGGTCAAGACTCAGCTTAACTTCTCAGAATTCTCTGTGTTAGAAACTGAAGGTTTCTGTTGTTTCTTAAGCTTGGTTCATTAACATCCAGTGGAACCTCAAGTGCTCACTTGATTTTTTGGCTTTATGTTTTATTGGAGAGATGATTCTAATAAGTAGTTATTTCAGTGTATTCTTGCACACGTGAAAGAGAGCCAGAGACATATGCTATTGTGTTGTTAAATTTAGAGCCCAGAGATACAGCATGGATCCTTGCTTGCATTGGGATTCACAGTAGGAAGATATTTGGCTAAAAAGAAAATGAGAATTGCAGAGCAACAAGACCCAGAAAGAAATGCTGATTTCCTGCCTGAACAAGAGGAACTCATTCAGAGCGCCACAGAAATAATAGGTAATTAATATCTTTATGCTGACTTGGATGTTGCAATTTCTGAATTGTGTTAAATTTTAATATGGCATTTCTTTTTATAGCATTGCACTTTAAAGGTAGAAGCTTTTCCACAAAACCTTACTTAATGTTGAATAAATTCTATATTTTTAATAACAATGAAAGTACTCTATTTTTGTCTGTATATTTTTTTCTACATGCTTTCGTATATATAATAGGAATGATTCTGTTATGGGAAAAAATTTTTATACATTCAAAAAGAACACTACCCTGTTTCCATGGCATCTCATTACTGAATAAATGTTAACAAACTGTCAACTGGAAGATACTGTAGACTTTGATTTTATTTTGCTTTCTTTAAAAAAAAATCTTGAATACATTGCTGGTTGCTTTGGATCACAAGGATAACAGTCTATCATTCTCTGTTTTGTCTAAATGTGCTTACAGGCTCATTTTTGGACAGTACCTCACCCCTCCTGGCAATTGCTGCCTGTACAGCTCTGGGTGAAATTGGGAGAAATGGTCCTCTCCCAATCCCAAGTGAGGGATCTGGCTTTACCAAATTGCATCTTGTAGAAAGCTTACTAAATAGAATACCTTCCACTAAAGAAACAAATAAGGCAAGTTTCTTTCTTTTTTCCTTTCCTTATGGATTTCTGTCTTTCTGTTCATAAATGAGCAAAACCAAATTGTAATGAGGATAGATGGCATTACAGTTGGAAGAAGGATTTAATGTCAAAAAGAACGATTCAATTATAGAGGAAAGTCTAAATGTTTACTTTTAAGTTAGGGATGATTTGTGTACAACCTTCGTGTGTGCATCTTTTGAACCAGTTATTCTAATTTAGGCCTTTATTAAGATTTGAATGAAGTATTAAATTCATCAAGAAATCTTTTTTGTCTTGCAAAAGGTGAATAATAAAATATTAAGTAGTTTTACAATTTTCATAATTTTAGACCAAATCTAAACCTTAATCTCCTAAAAACCAGTTTGTTTTTAAGAAGACTGGCATTAGTAAGCAATGTGTGTAATCTGAGGGAGAGGATATTTGTGTTTTTTAGTTTTAGTTAAATATTTTCATAGACTTTAAAATATATTCTTTGTGACAAAAGCACCTCAGTGTTAAGGTATAAGATGGTTTAATGAGCAGGAATATCAGTTTTCCACAAGCTTAATAAACATGATAATCTTATTCTTGGTCTAGCAACTGTTAAAAACTTTTTGAGAAGATTACACAGTGTAGTTTTTGTTAGTTATTACTAACTAATAATTGCCAACCATTGGCAAGTACTTGTAATGTGTCAGTGAGTATACTAAGCACTTTTCATGCATTAATTAATTGAATCTTGCAAAAGGGCTAGTGAAGTAGGCACAGTTGTCATCTAAGATAACCTGAGGAAATAGAGTCACAGAGAGGTGAAGGAACTTGCCTAAGGTTGTACACGTGTAAAGGCTACTGAAATGGTCAAGATGTGATTTGGTCCTAGATCCTCTGGGCCCAGAACCCATATTTTTAATAGTTATAGTTTCAAGGTTAAGCCTAGTTGTGGGCTTTCTTCTTTCTTCTTTGCAGCTGTGGATCCTCAGTGGACTCAGTTTTGTGTATTTTTGCCTCCAGTGTCTTAAAGACATACTTCTGTGAAATTGGATGCCTTTATGAAGGCTGTGTTAGTTAGAGTGCCCCTCCCTGTCACCTCATTTCGGAAACACTGTTCTGTGGTAAAGCTCTTATATACAGAAAAGAAAAAATTCTGTGTTCTTCCAGATGAAAGAACGAGCAATCCAGACACTGGGATATTTTCCAGTTGGGGATGGAGATTTTCCTCACCAGAAACTCCTCTTGCAAGGTCTGATGGATTCCGTGGAGGTATTTATATTGCTATCTGATTGTCAATTATTCAAGCAAAGGCATTGTTAGGTGCAGTTTTGCATGCTATAAGATTTTTAATTAAACTTTTACCCATTTATTCACCACATATTTAATTTTGAGTGCCAGCTTCGGGCTTGTCACTGTGCTGGGCATAGTGTTGACTAAATCACCTATGAAGAAAAGACCGTTTCTCATAATTTTTGCGTAAAGCACAGTGTAGTAGGGGTAGAAGGGGAAACCTACCCCATCAGCCAGATGTGGGGAGTGGGTGCTGGTATACTAGTTGCTCTCAAGTCTGATGATTTAGCTCTGTCCTCTAGATACCCAGAGTAGTGGAGAAGACCTGCAAGTAGGCAGTGCTAACACAGCGTGGTAAGTGTCTTAGCATGGCCTGATCTGGCCCCTGCCTAATGTGGCCTTGATTCTTGACATTCGCTCACATTTTTGTATACCAGTTTCTTTGGCCTTCTTTGCACTGAGCTTTTGAAAGCCCCATGCTTCCTTCTTTCTCAGATGATTGCTGTGCTCCTTGAGAAGGCTTCCCTAACCCTTCAGACTAGGGTAGATTCTTTAGTTATTTGTGCTATCATGACTCTCATTATTTTTCACAACATTGATCAGTTTCTAATTTCCCACTAGACTGAGGGCAGTGTCTGTTTAGCCCACTGTTACAGAACAGGTGCCTAGCAGTGTGATTGGTAATGGTAGGACCTCAGTAAATATTGGTAGAATAAGTAACTGAATGGAGGGACATTTGCATAGAAGGCAGTGGAATTACGAGGGAGGATGTATTTCTGCCAGGGAGAGTTGATGCAGGTTTTTTGAAGGAGAGTTTGCTGCTAACCCTTGAAGGATGGGGAGGGAAGAGAGAGGAGAGTTGAGGCTCAGGGCTGAGGCAGCTGAGTGAGAGAACTGATGTTAGAATTCAGGCCTCTGGATTCTTAATTCAGTATTTTTAAAGTGAATTTTTTTGGATGATGAATTATACCTATATCAGATTCTCCCTATATCAGGATGTCACTGACATGGTAACCACTTGAAGATAAACTTATGATGTCTACTTTTTCATCTTTTCTCTTTTTTAAATCCATGAGAGAGATGAATTTCTTCTAGTTTTTTAAAAATAAATGAAGGCTTCTCTGGATTCTTAACTTGCTTTTGATGCCATTGTTTTTAGAGTTTAGAAATACAGAAATACGTAAAAAGCTAGAAATGTAGAAAGAAGATGGAGAGATTAAGTGATAAGAATGAATGAAAATGCATGAATCAGAAGTGGAGTATCTTCACAGTAAACTAGAACAAATTGCTAAAGTTTGTTTCTTTTAACTTTTTATTTTTTTGATTGATGTATAATAGTTGTACATATTTATAGGGTATGTGTGATATTTTGATACAAGTGTATAGAGTATAATGGTCAAATAGGGTAATGGGGGTATTTCTCACCTCAAACATTTATCATTTCTTTGTGTTGGAAGCATTCCAAATCTTCTAGCTATTTTGAAATATATTATAAATTGTTGTTAAATATAGTCACCCTATTCTGCTGCCAAACACTAGAACTTATTCCTTTTATCTAAGTGTATTTTCGTACCCATTAACCAACCTTCTTCATCCCCTTCCCCCTTCACCTCCCCCACTACCCTTCTCAGCCTCTGGTAACCACCGTTTTATTCACTGTCTCCATGAGATCAATTTTTTTAGCTCCTTCGTATGAGTGAGAACATGTGATATTTGTCTTTCTGTGCCTGGCTTGTTTCAGTTAGTATGTCCTCCAGTTCCCTCCATGTTGTTGTAAGTGACAGGATTTCATTCTTTCTATGGTTGAATATTATTCCATTGTGTATGTATACCACAGACTTGTATTTATTCATCTGTTGGTGGACACTTAGGTTGATTCCATGTCTTGATGTAGATATCATGAATAGTGCTGTAATAAACATGGGAGTGTAGATATCTCTTCGATAAACTTATTTCCTTTCTTTTGGATGTATATAGCCAGCACTAGGATTGCTGTATTATATGGTAGTCCTATTTTAATTTTTGAGAAACCTCCATACTGTTTTCCATAGTGGCTTTACAAGTTTATATTCCCAGCAACTGCATACAAGCATTCCCCTTTCTTCGTATCCTTGCCAGTATCTGTTATTTTCTGTCTTTTTGATAATAGCCATTTTAACTGGGGTGAGATAATATCTCATTGTAGTTTTGATTTGCATTTCTCTGATGATTAGTGATGTTGAGCAATTTTTCATCTACCTATTAGCCGTTTGTATATCTTCTTTGAGAAATGTCTATTTGGATCTTTTGCTCATTTTAAATTGGATTAATTGCTTTTTTGCTATTGAATTGAGTTCCTTCTTTATTCTAGTTATTGATCCCTTGTCATTTGGATAGTTTGTAAATATTTTCTCCTGTTCTGCAAGTTGTCTCTTCGCTCTGTTGAATGTTTCCTTTGCTGTGCAGAAGCTTTTTAGTTTGATGTAATCCCATTTCTTGAAATTCATTGAGCTGCCTTAGAAGGCTATTTTTAATTCTCTGTCTGAGAGATTACATATCTGCATCATTCCAGGGTTGGTTACTGGTGCCTAATTTAGTCTGATTGGTTAGGTCATATTTTCTTAAATGTTCTTGATGCTTGTGAGTTTCGTTGATGTCTGGGTATTGAAGAGTTAGGTATTTCTTCCCATCTTCAGAGTCTGGCCTTGTTTGTACTTGTCCTTCTTCAGAGGACCTTTCAAGAATTCAAAGGGGAATTCACTGAGTTCCCTAAGCGTGTGGTCCCTATAGCCATCTCAGCACTAGAAGGCACCCTAAGCCTAGGTATGCTGCAACTCTCACAGACTTTTTGGTACCCATCCCTGATGGACTTAGGGAAGATAAGGAAGAATTTTCTGGGTTCCCAGACAAAGTCCCTTGCTCTCTTACCTCTCTTTGCTCCAGGAGGAAAGAGTCTCTTGGTGCTGGGCTGCCTGGAGTTAGGGGAGGGGTGATGTGGACATTCCTATGGCCTCCACCATTGGTACTGTGCTGCTTGGTTGCACCCAAAGCCTATGGCCCCCAAGGCCAGCACAGGCCTGTGGATCACCCAAGGCTTGCAGCACCTACTGCTGGATTGCCACCGATGTTTATGCAAGGCAGGAGACCACTTTAGTCAGCAGGTGATAAAGCTGGTGGGATCAGGTTTATCCCACTGTGACAGTGGATTCCCCTCTGGCCTAGGGCTGGTCTAAATAAATGCTCCCTCTTTGGACAGTGGTAACATTTTTGCCTTGTGCTATGCCCCGCTGTGACAGGGTGGCATTGAGTTCCAATGTGAAGTCCCACACTCACTTTACTCTCCCTCCCCCATGCACACAGATTCTCTCTGGGCTGTGCTACCTGGGATTGGGGGAGGGGTGGTATAGTCAATGTCTTTCCTACCCCATTCTTGTTATTATGCTAAAACCATGTTCTTATTGTTACACTAAAACCAGGTACTGTGATCTCTCACCTGATTTTTTAGCTCTTCAGAGGATGTTTTCTTTTGTGGATAGTTGTTCAGTTTGATGTTTCTATAAGGGAGGGGGTGGTGATCCCTGGAGGGTTCTGCTTGGCCATCTTGTTCCGCCTCCTTCTCCCTCTTTTAACTTTTTAGTATGGAAAAAAAAAATCTATGTGCCTGTTCTTATTTCATTTATTTGACTCCCTGAACCCCCTCTTTATTTCTGGAATATTTAAAGCAAAGTCTAAATATGATCCATAAATGTAGTTGTGGAGTTTTGTTTTTATTTTTAATGTTGTGATTAGCTATAGGAAATATAGGCAAAACAGGCACATAACATGAATCCCTAATAAGGATGCTTTGTGTTGAAATACCTTTTCTCAGCTCGAAGTTGCCAAGAGAAGCTTTTGACCAGGGAAGCTGTAGGACTACAGCCCTTAAATTCTTTTTCCTCAGACTGGGAAGCATGTGGTGTTAACACTTGACACCCATCAAGTCTGGAGCATTTAGTTGATTGAGCACAGGACTGTCAACTGTATGCTTTTGTGGAGTCACTATTCCCATATCCCTCATATGCCGTCTGTTCTTCAATAGTTTCTCATTCCTCCTATTCTTAGATTTCTTCCAATTCACAGTAAACAAAAAAATACCAAAATAAACCAAGGCAGGTCCAGTTCCAGGGTGGGTCAGTGACTCATACTTGTGAAGCATGTCAAAATTTGTAAATCAAATTTTAAAACATTTGAGTTTGTACTGTATAAAATGTTTTAATGTCTGACTTTTGAGACAATTTCGAACTTATAGTCAAGTTGTAAGAATAGTATAAAGAACTTCTATATACCCTTTATCCAGATTTATCAAATTTTAATGTTCTACATTCGCTTTATTATTCTCTATTTTTTTCCTGAACCCTTTGCAAGTAACTTGGAGATATCATGTAATTTAAGAGTGTAAAGAGTTAAAATAGGTGTAAATAAAGTTTAATAAATTATAATAGCTAATATTGTGCAGGTACTACAATCAGGCATACGGTATATAAGTTTTGTGTACGTTAACCTTATTTAATCTTCAGCCTGATGATTTGGGTGATGGTATTATGTTGATTTTATGAAATTGTTGAGGTTCAGAGAAGTTTAAATAAGGGTATGTAGCTGGTGAGAGACAGAGCTAGAATTTACACTGAGATCTGTGTGTCTTTAAAAACGGGATGCCGTGTCTTCCTGAGAGAACCGTGTTGTGCTTCCAAAGATTAAAAATCACTGCTTAGTGGTTCTCTGCTGAGGGTAAGGAGGGCAGCACAGACTTGGAAAAAGATCTTCAAGTCATTCTTGCATTCTCCATTCCCTCACCCTACCCCCCTGTTGAACCATTGAGTTAGCTGAAAGCAAGCTGGGCAAAAGAGTAGAAAACAAAGTGTGCTCAGAAACAAGCTATCAAGCAGCCTTTCTGTAGAAATGGATGTTTTTGGGAAATGTTTTCGTATTCATGGCTTTTGCTTCCTTCGTTGTAGGCCAAGCAGATAGAACTTCAGTTCACTATTGGTGAAGCCATTACCAGCGCTGCAATAGGAACTAGTTCCGTGGCTGCCCGAGATGCCTGGCTAGTGACTGAAGAAGAATATACTCCTCCTGCTGGTACCAAATATTTGGCTAATTGATTTATAATTGTCAAGTAACCTTTTTCTGTTCTCTTTATCACACTTGAAGCAAAAAAACCCCCAAAACTAAACATTGCTCTTTTTCAAATATTTACATCCATCCTACCAATTTGGTTCAGTCAAGAAAAATAATTGACTAAAGAAGCGTGAACGTGAAATTAATGAGAACTTTTTCTGTCCTTTGGCAAGCAGGCAGAGGAGTTAGCTTTGGATTACCTTCCAGCTTGTGCTCTTCTCATGAGGATTGTTGTATTTAGCCAGTTTCAGAATTCAAGGTATAGCAGTTTCCAAATTGTGTGTCCCCTAATCCTTTAGTACATTATTAAGCTTCAGTGCCTTCTGCCAGTGTTCAGATGCACTGGCTTTTAGGACTACATAGTTGAAGGAGCACGTGGTTTCTGACTATATGTTACAGATATTATGATTTCAAATATGTTGTGCTTTGATTTGAATTTGAAATTGAAAATATATTTCAGTGTTTGAACCAGAATTTAAAAAAAATCTTCAAAAGGAAAAATCTCCAAGTTTTTATATGTATTTTCTCAGTTGAGGAAATAAGAAATTAGTGTTCTCATGGTAACGATTCCATTGTGAATTGTATTCCATCATGAATACATTAATTTAGTTATTACACTTAGTGTTATAGTTAACATTTCACTCTGCAGTAATGTGTTCACATATTTAATTAGCCACCATAAAGAGATTTAAAGGAAATAGAAAAACACACTTTTGCTTGCACTCTATTTAGAAGAATTGTGGATTGATGGAAGCTGAATTAGAGTCAGTTCTTTGAGGCTTTTCTTTGAACACTTACGGAGCAAGGCAAGGAGAAATTTACATAGAAGGAAGAAGATACTCAAGGCACAGGGTATTGTTAACAAGAAGACAACCAAACCTGAAGTAGAAACTGTCAGATTCATGTGAGAGGTGATAATGGAGGCTCAGTGGAGTGAGGGCTCACACAGAGGAGTGGATTTTCTATGAGAGGCATGTTTCTGAGTCTGGGTTTTTACATAGTGACTTATGCAAGTAAAGGTTAATAGAGAGGTATCTATACCAGACTTTATACTTCTGGACTTCTCTCTGTTGCCTCAGACTCTCCTTGGAAGACTGGGTCCTGTGTAGTTTTACTCATTCAAAAGAATCTCAAATTGTCCATTAAATGGTGAGGTTCTCCTGTTTTTGTCTGTTTAGGGACAGGAAAACAAAATATTGATGAATGTTTGACCTGAATTTTGATCATACGTGTTCTATATGTCATTCTCATCTGAGTGCTACTCAACTTTTTGAATGTTCTTATTTGTTCTAGTTTATTATAAGCCAGTTAGGGCCTGGGTCTTAGACATCTTCATATCTCTAGCATGTAACGCCTGGCACACTGTGGGACTCTAATAAGGGCTTGTTAATTTGGTAATTGTAGTCGCCCAGATAGCAGAACTGCAGGCGGCTAGAGTTGTGGTTAGAGGAAAATAAAAGAAGGGGTTCTGCCTGATTCTGAGAACTAGAGTAATGGGATGAGTGAGGAGCTGTGAAGGGGGGATGGGTGTGGGGAAGTCAGCTGTGTCATATCCTGCTAACAGGTCAATTAAGGTGAGGGTTGAGAAGTGATAGTTGGATTTAGTGACAGGAAGGTAATTGGTGACTTTTATGAGTAATTTTTGTGGAGAAGAAAAGTTAAAAGGCTGATTTGGAGTGGGCTCAAGAAAACGTAAGAGGAGAGAAAAGTTTGACCCATGAGTATAGACAACTATTTTGAAGAGTTTTAATGTAAAGCAGTGCTTCTTGACTGGAGGAATGAGATTTTTGCTCCACAGGGGACATTTGGTAATGTCTGGACACAGGGGAGAGTGGGTGCTACTGGTCTCCATTGAGCGGAGGCGATGGGTGCTGCCAGACAACCCTACAGGGTACAGGACAGCTCTCCGCAGCAAACAGTTACCCAGCCAAAAATGGCAGTAGCGTTGAGGATGAGTAACTCTGAAGTAATAAAGGAAAGGAGAAAAAACTATGGCAGCTGAAGAAAGTGAAGTCAAAAGAGGTTTGTTAGTTTTTAGATGGAAGATGACAAGGATCTAGTAGAGAAAGAAAAATCGCAGAGCCTAGAGACAGTGGGGATGATTTTTCATTCTGGGGAACTAAAGTTACCTGAGTACCTTTGACAGGTTGTTTAGCTTATACTGGGTTCCATAGCGAACCATTATTGATTCCTGTAGCAACTTATTTAAACACCTTAGTCATTGGGATTTTAGCATGTTTATAGGATTGTTGTATTGAGTCAACGGTGGTTTAAATTTAATCTTTTCAGGAAACTATATTGAATTATTTTTTATTGTTTCTTTGCTTTTCCTCAGGAGCCAAAGTGAATGATGTGGTTCCATGGGTGTTGGATGTAATTTTAAATAAACATATCATCAGTCCCAACCCACACGTGAGACAAGCGGCCTGCATCTGGCTCCTTTCCCTTGTGAGGAAGCTAAGTACCCACAAAGAAGTGAAGGTAAGCCATGCTATGTATGTGATCAGCTCTGTTGGAAACCACACTTTTTATAAGTGAAAGGTAGGTAGGAAAGCATACGAAGGTGAGAGTCATTAACCGATAGCGGATATTTTGAACATGAAGGGATGAGGGATGATGGCCTGATATATATTGGCTGTAAGATGATTCCAAACTTGAAGGTATAAAGTCAGAATTGCTAAGCATGGGGAGGCTCAGACTGGGGCAGAGGTCAGCTTGCATGCGTTGAGTACCTGTTAGTGGTACAACTTCAGGTAATTTGGACCACTTGTAAAGCTGAGAGCACAACACTGTGTGTGACTGCCTTGAATCATAAGACGTTAAGAGTCTGACACCCTGAGAGTGAGATTCTTTTCCAAAGAGGGAGAGTTTCAGTATTCTAATGCCTCTTTTCTTCTTTCAGTCTCATCTAAAAGAAATTCAAAGTGCGTTTGTTTCAGTTCTGTCAGAAAATGATGGTACGTTGTTGACAAATATTTGATTTCTAAACTTTATTAAACTTGTATTTTAAATTTCAAAAAGTCTGGATTAGTGAAAATAAAACTCTTGAGCTATGTGATTAAAAAATTAAACCTTGTTTATTAATGTTAAGGGTAAGCATTATGTTAGTGGCTAAAAAACAAACAATTTCTGGTTAGGGTATAGGAAACTCAAATTCTTATTTATTTATAAATTAGAACATTTTCTTTACTTTTGTGTTTAAAATGGAGCTGAGGCCTTCTTTAACATTAATATCTCTACTAAGTAATAACTTTCTTCTATGTCTGATTACTTTTCCTCTCCGATTTAAGCTAGGAGACAGTGGATGTATATATTTAGATATTTAAATAGTAGCTTTGTTTCCCAACTTGTCTTATATTGACTTTTCATTTTTGAAAAATCAGGTGTGGGTATATTGAAATCCTGTGAGGCTATTTTATCTCTGTGTATGACTGATAGTCCATGGATATTCTGTCACTGTGCACTGTTCAGGGACACTGTATAGCTCCATCAGTGTTGTCTTGGTTTGTGAATTGGATCTTCCGTGGATGTAGTTCTCATTTACAGTGACTTGTATGGTGTCATGTTCACTGAGATGATTTCGTATGTTTCTAACAAAATAGGCAGATTGATTCTGTTTTTATATCTTTGATATATCCTTTTAAGTTAATGTTAACACAACTTTTAAAAAATTTTGAATTGCTAGCCAGTAGACAAATTTTCATTAAAGTATTATAATTTTGTCTGACTGTTTTTGTAGAGCTTAGCCAAGATGTTGCCTCAAAAGGCCTTGGGTTGGTTTATGAACTAGGCAATGAACAAGATCAACAAGAATTGGTTTCTACACTTGTTGAGACACTTATGACTGGTAAAAGGTATGGTGAACTTGAAAGTTTTATTTTTTTCTTTTGTTACATAAATGAACTTGAAAATTTTAGATTTGAACACATAGAGCCAGTATATGCATATATCGAGAATATGCTATGGAAGAAGGAAAATTTAGCTTTTCATTTTTCTATTTATTATGCCTTTTTAAAATTGCAAGTTAGTGATTGTTATGCTGTGACTAGGAGTTTATTATCCCAGTGTACACTGTTCACTTTAGAGAGATGCCAATAGGTCACACTTTGAAAATTGAATGGTACTAGGACTATTAATGCATTGGATTAGAAATATACCACAAATACTGTTGGCTAAATGAAAATTAACATGTGGAGAAGAAGCTTGCATATTATTCCTGGTCTAGTCTGTGAAAAGTATGTGAGGGGAAATCATTCTTATAATTGGTTGTTTGCTGCTTTACGTTGCCTTCCTTGTAGGAAGGATAGTTTTTAATTTGTGACATTTAATTCAGTGTAACTTTATATGGGATGTCTTTTACATCTATTAATTTGTTCATTCTAGATCTCACTTTACAAAATTCCTAGCCTGAAAAGGAATAGTTGACTTTTATATCTTGCACAGTAGACATTTGGTAGGGAGTTCAGTTTTATCAGTTTGCAAATGAATTGTATCCATTAGTTGGATGCTGATATGAAAAGTTTGAGGCTAATTTAAATTCTTGTTTTTTTGGCTTAGAGTTAAACATGAAGTTTCTGGAGAGACAGTGGTATTTCAAGGGGGGAGCCTTGGTAAAACACCAGATGGGTAAGTATGCCAAATCCATCGATCAGATAATGTAAACATCTTTAAATATATGTGTGTGTGTGTGTGTGTGTGTATGTGTATATATATGTATATATTTTAAGCCTGATAAATAGAACAGTCATGAAGTTTTAGGAAATGTTGTATGTTGGTAGAAGAAGAAAACTTCTATGGAAAAAGCCTTAGATTTGAAAAAAGTCTTAGATTGAGTTTCCTGGGAAATAAACTCTGAGAAGGAGATTTGTATGCTGGAAATTTATTAAGGAGCGCCTCTGGATCACCCTTGTGGGGAGTGGGGAAGCAGGCTAGGGCCAGTGACTAAGGGAGGGGCAGAACTACTGCCATCACTTTAGTGGATCCTGACCTCTCAAGGAACTCTGAGCTGGCAGGGGATGGCCCCTGAGAGTTGTCCTGCTTTGAACATGGAGCCTGGGCCTTTATGTCCCCTCCCCACACCCTCCCTCAGTGACTAGCTGTTGGTGGTGGCTGCTGCGTGGGAGGCTATGACCCTGGGCTCTGAGGACAGTTGTGGGAGATTGACTAGGCTGAGACCTGTCAGCTTTCAGGCAGCTGAGTCCTGGGGGGCATCTGGAAGCGTAGCTTGGCACCCACCCCTAGTTTTTTGGTAGGAGCAGCTCTGCATCTGAGAGTCCACTAATTTAGCATTTTAAATTAATTTCTTGAGCTTTATTTTATCATTATTCCATTGTGGTTACATCGTTGCATTTCCTCTAAGAATCATCAGGTTGGCAGTGCAGTGCTGTCTGGCAGAGCCCTGCTTCAGTGTTGTCTGTAGTCTGTTCTGTCCTTGATCTTCTCCCATAGCTCACTGTTTTCACATCAAAGTTTTCATTCCACTGACTCTTCTTGTACACTCTTGAGTTTTTAAAAAAGTTCTCATTTGTCACAGTAACACAAAATGATATTTGAGCAAATATTATTTGTTCAGAGGAAAGTTAACAGGACTCAAAGAAGTTACCAGAATTAGGGTGGTCTAGCCTAGAAAAGACTCAGGGAAGACAGATGTCTTCAAATGGCTCTTTTGTGATTGTGAGAGATTTGTGCACAGTGAAGAATTATTGAGTCGCCTTCCAGGGTGGTGAGGGCTGCACTTCATGGGAATCGCAGGTGCATTTAGGTTGTTTACCAGCAGCAGTGTAAAGGGGCTTAGGAATTGTTGGTAATTGAATTAGATGACTTTTTATATTCTTCTCAACCTGGTTTTCTGCCTTTGTGGTGACGAGATAACTCAGTATTAGAAATTGAGTGAAAATGTAATTTAAAATGTCCTAGTAATATTGATGATGTAATTTTTATTAGGCTGGAGATAGAGAAATATATTATTGCATCCTTTTTTTTCTTTGTTTCCAAGCCAGGGTCTTTCTACTTACAAGGAGCTTTGTTCTCTGGCAAGTGATCTTAGTCAGCCAGATCTGGTGTATAAATTTATGAATTTAGCTAACCATCATGCAATGTGGAACTCTAGGAAGGTAAGTTACTATCACTGGACAGTTTTTATTTTTTACTTCCCTGCAAACCAAACATACTACATTGACAGACAGTGGCAAATGATATGCAGTGCATTTTGTAAAAGTCTGTGTCTGATTAGAGAGACACAAGCCACCACATGGCAACTGTTATTGATCAGTAAAGCTGGGACACCCAATAAATCAGTCTGTCTTTAGGGACAAGTTTGGGAGGGAAAGTTTTCTGATCCTCACATATTTAATATGTTAATATTTTACTACAACAGATGCACGTGAGTCACTTCGTCTTCTTGTTGTTATCTTTAGGGTGCTGCTTTTGGTTTTAACGTAATTGCTACCAGAGCTGGAGAACAGCTGGCTCCTTTTCTGCCTCAGTTAGTTCCTCGACTTTATCGTTATCAGTTTGATCCCAACCTTGGCATTCGACAGGCCATGACAAGTATTTGGAATGCATTGGTCACTGATAAATCCACGGCAAGTATCTGAATTCATGTGTTAGGAAAATGCTGTAGCTTGTCTAAGGTCATGCACAGGATTTAAATCCAGTGCTCTTCTTCCTTTCTACATTGTATACTTATTTGTGTAAAGAAATAACTTTCTTTTATTCCATGCTTTCTTCCTTCTTTCACAGTATCAAAGATGCTATGGTAACATTTGTGGAAATCTCCAAAATGGAAACAGTCTGAATGTCCACAGGGTGGTTGGTTAAGGAAGTGATAGAACATTCACACAAATGGAATACTGAATGCTGATAGGTGCTGTTGATGCACTGGACAGTGGGTCATAGTCCCACCTCCAAGGAATTCACTTAGCTGGGGAGAGAGATAAGGAAGCAGGCAGTTACCGTGTTGTTTCTCTCTTGGTTCCCTATCAATTTGGCTGTTCATTGTGCACTTGCGGATATTAAGATTTCTCAGAGCTTGCCTCTGAGTACCTTTTGCTCTCTCAGTTGACCCTGTAACAGTTCCAGGGCATATAAATGTCATCTTTATTGTGATAGTTCCCAGTCTTACACTTCTGGTCCAGATGTGACTTGCGTTCCAGACTTGCATATGTAACTGCCTGCTTGACATCTTCACTTGGATGTTGTTTCAAGGTACCATAAACTTAAGATTTTCAGAACAGAACTTAAAAGACAACCATCTCCTCCTATTCTCCTCACTGTTCACCCATTTACCCAAGCCAGAGAACTTGTTGTCATCTTTGATTTTTGTCTTAATCTCAGCATTAACCCCAATTGAATTCAGTAGCACATTCTGAATTCAGTAGCACATTTTGCTTCTAAAGTATTCCGTGAATGGACTCTCTTCTTCCTTTATACTTTCCTGATGAGCAGGTCATCATCATCTTTCCCTTTGCCTTTTGTCATTTAATTATCTGCATAGCTACAAAAGTGCTTTTTTTAAAAATGCAAATTAGATTGTGCCATTTTGGGTTAAAATCCTTCAATGGCTTCACAGTTCACTTTAAATAAATTCCATAAATTCTGACAAGTCCCTGCACATGATGTGGCCCTTTCATACCCCTTTCGTCTGGTACTAGGTTGAGTGTGTTCCTATTCGTGGCGGTCGGTATTTGAGGGTTCGGCTTTGAAGGCTCAGTGAGTTCTGTTTGCTCTGGGAGGGTATGTAGTACCTCTGTGTCAGCTAAGACTTAATAGGCCAGTGGGCTTTGTAGATCTGAGTTCAGGACAGATCTAAGGCTCTCAAGGCTCTCAAGAGAGCCTAAGGCTCTCAAGATGTGAGTGTCATCTCTGTGAACCACAGGTGTGGATGAGATCACCTGTGGAAGATGCTTAGCGAAGCAGACTTAGGAAGACATCAGTTTGTTATTTACCTCTATGTCTTGGTTTTCTTGCATATAAGTGAGAATAGCAAAACCTCTGCTATCCATAAGAGTGAAAGTAGAAAAGCCGTAAGTTCTGAGGGTCTCTCAATCATTGTAAAAACTGAGTCTACCATCAGTTTGTTGTTACTGAGCAAGTTGGTAAGTGTATATCAAAACAGAACAGAGGCTTAAAAGATAAAACTCATCTTTCATTATGAACAATCATGGGCCAGACACTGTGTAAGGCTTGAGGATACAAAGATGAGTGAGACCCAGTCCCTGTCCTCGAGGTCTCCAGTGTAGTGGAGCAGTGCAGTTATTGTACGGTCTGGTATGATGCATCGTCAAAAGGTGCTATGGGAACACAGAGGAGAGTACCCGGGCCAGTCTTCTTAGAGAAAGGGATGGCTAATTTGAATCTTGAGGGACAACCAACCAAGTAGGACATGGAAGGGTATTGTGGGTAGAGGTATTAATAGTATGTGCCAAGGAATGGAGGTAAGACCGAACATGGTACCTTTGGGGCAGATGAGTCACAGCAGGCTTTGTGTGATGCCCAGGTGATTGGGCTTTATTCTCAGGCACTGAGGAAAATAAGAGTATCAAGTGTGCATTTTAGAATGATCATTCTGGCAGTTTATGGCAACCAAGGTGGGGAGAGATTTGTGGGCTGAGAGGCCCAAGAGAGACACTTAGATTGTTAAATTCAGAAACATGGTCATTGTGGTTAAGAGGCGAATAATTTGATTATTGATCGATTTTGCATTTTTAATTTTATCTTTTTGCTTTCGTTAGGTGGATAAATATTTGAAAGAAATTCTTGAAGATTTGGTGAAGAACCTTACAAGCAATATGTGGCGAGTTCGAGAATCCAGGTACTATTTTGGGGGATATAAGACTTGTCAAATCAAATTGAATTTTTTTCCTTCAAATTTGCAAATTTTATACTTTGTACAAAAGGAATAAATTAAAACTACTAAAAAGCATATTCCTAGTTGCCTAAATTAGACAGTTATTTTTCATTATTTAAACTCTGGTCAATGGTTTTCCTAAGTTGTCTTAGTTTATATAAGTATGAAATAAAAGAAGCTGAAGATTACTTGTTAAATTGGTTGACACCAAGATATATTTACATACTGTTATGACTTTGTAGTATAGCATTTATTTATATATACAAATTATATTTAATCTGTTCCTAATATGTGCATGGCAATGTACTAGGCCCTGGGAGTATACTGTTGAAGTAAAATATCATCTCAAAGGGATTGTATTATAGTTGTGAGAAGCAAACATTTGATGGTTGTAAATGCCATACGTATGTGGTATATTTGAGGCACCAAGAGAACAATCATTACTGCCTTAGGGTCGGAGGGAGGGGTTAGGACTAGACTTGTAGGTGGAATCTATATTCTTATTTGCTGTAAATGTTTCTTAGTAAAATATTGAGCTTTCTTGATCATTTGAAAGCAAATTGTTTATTTTCAGCTGTTTAGCTTTGAATGATTTATTGAGAGGAAGACCCTTAGATGACATCATTGATAAACTTCCAGAAATTTGGGAAACACTTTTTAGAGTGCAAGATGATATCAAGGTATTATAGAAATAAATCTTTATTTATTTATAGAATAACTTAAACTGGAATTGTTAAAATATATATGTTATACGTGTCAAAATCCCATATCCAGACTATTTTAAGAGTTTCCCCTCAAAGTTTCAGTCTTAATATGTCTGTGAGGGTGAGGGGTTGAGTATCCTTAGATCTAAATTGAATTGAATTAGAAAAAAAGTGGCCACAGCCTGACTTTCTTTGAGTAGTGATCTCATGATGATATAGGATTAGGGACAAATAACAGTTTTGAAAAAATACATAGTATTTCTCCTTTAATCAGTTTCATAAATTGGATTAGTCGTTCCCAAAAAATGTGACCAATTCTTTTGAATTTTTCCTGGGCAATCTAAATTACAGGTATTTTGATATCTTACCATTATATTAGGCCATCACTTTTGCCTTTCTTTTTGCTTTATCCACTAGAGATTTTTAAGTCTTTCATAATCCTCACATCTTTATATATTTGCTTTTATAATACATTTAGTTTCTGAAGTGTTATACTTAATGTACCTCTGGACTCTTTAAATGATGAACTTAACATTAAAGCTTTCATTGACCCTGAAGAGCACATTACTCAGATCAAGCAACATCTGTCTTTTCTCTTATTGTTCCTATGTTTATATGTAAATCTACCTTTCATGTCTATGAGGTTGGCAAGCTGTTTGAAACTAAATAGCCAAATTTTTGTAAGGTCAAATAGGTTATACCTAATGTTTAAAAATTAATAATATGGCATTGTAGCATGTTCCTTAATGGGCAGAGAACCTAATGAGACATTTTTTTTCAAGCTGACATTAAACGTTGATTTTTAACTATTCTATGTAGGGTCTGAGGCAGTTAAATTACAAATTGTAGGGTAGATGATAATGAAACTCTCTAACTTGTATGATGTCACACTTTTCTCATTTTTAGGAATCTGTACGAAAAGCAGCAGAACTAGCTCTGAAAACTCTGAGCAAGGTGAAAACTCCTGTCTTTCATTTGGGGGTGGAGTGGGGCTGGTTTCTATGTGAGCATGACAATAATGATTTATTTTTTGTCATATGAAATGACATTTAGTTGCAGTGTAATTGCCTTCATGTTATGGTTCACTACTCTTACAATGAATGAGAAAGTGGGTGCCGTAACACTGGAATGCTCGTGTCTCTAACAGAGTATACCTCTTGTCTCTTTAAATGGTGAACTTAACATGAAACATTCACTTGACCCTAAGGAGCACATTATTCACTTAGATCAAGAAACATCTGCCTTTTCTCTTACTATTGCTGTGTTTCTGTATAAATCTGCCTTTCCTGTCTATGAGGTTGGCAAGCTTTTCAAAATTAGTCTCACAGTTGAACTTGATTTTGTGATATACCAAGGACTTTTACATTCTAGTTGCACAAACCTTGCCATAGGTCACATTGTTGTTAGTAAAACTAGGTTTTAAATCCAGATGTTTCTCATTCCAGGTTGTTCTTGACCACTATATTGTGCTGCAACGCCAAATTGTTGTTGATGATGATGATGATATTTTAAACCTTCTTTAAAGTGCTTACACGTTTTCACATTTCATCTTCAACTGTTTTGTTCTATGTTTCAAAAATTAGAAGACCAAAGCTTAGAGAGTCAAATGCCTATTTACTCCAAATTTTCTATTTAGTTATTGGCAGACCTAGGACTTAATCCCAGGTCGCATTCCTGTCTCTCCCTATAGTGTCATAGGAAATAGGGTCACTTACTCTTTTCTATGGATATGTGAAGTAGAAAGTCTTTTGTCAGATGAGTGCTTTATTGGATGAGAGGTCAGTTTCACTAATGTCCATGCTCTTTGTATGTGAGGTTTGTGTGAAAATGTGTGACCCTGCCAAAGGAGCAGCCGGCCAGAGAACCATCGCTGTCCTTCTGCCTTGCCTTCTGGACAAAGGAATGATGAGTCCTGTGACGGAAGTTCGAGCCCTCAGGTGTGGATCAGTTGATAAAATGAATGTATTGAATTTGCTCAGTTCCTAGCCATTGAGGAGAAACTGTGTTTTCTTCAAGGTTGGATTCTTGAAAATATAGAGAAAGAAGTTGAGGAGAATCCGTTGAGGTGACCTTGGGGTCATCTGTAAAAAGCTGTGAGTCAGAATGTTTTTGCAGAAACATCCTCATGGGACCTTGTTTTTGCCCAGCATTCTGAGTTCATTGTGTTACTCTGTTGTCATCAGCTGCTTCTTCCAGCAGCACATTTTCTTATGCCACAGATCCTTAGGAGCTTGCTTGCTGGTTATAACACTTAGTAATACTATTTCACAGATTACTGTATTTAAGATAAGATACCATCTGCAACAATGAAATATTCAAAAAATATATGTATACTTTTAGATATATGTGGCTATTTTAAGTTAAAATCAAAACACACAAATTCTAGTTTGTGTGCTTTTTTGTTTCTAAACTAGAATGCTATCTAGGAACTTTATCTGTTCCATTTTTATTTCACTCTTAAAACTAGAACAAAGTAATAATATTAACAGTATTTCATGGTAGCTAGGTAGTTGATTAGGGAAGATTCTTTTTGGAAGAACTCATTAACAAATGCAAAGGCAGGATATGATTAGGATATCACTTTTATTGTCCTCAGCAAAATAATCTAAGTAGTGATCATTAGTTACCCCTAAATCCACTGGTGAATGGCTGGTGGGAACTTTGTAATGGTTCACACCACCCAAACCTGAAGCCGTGGTTCACTCCTGACCACACAGAGAGACAGCCAGACGTTACATGCATCCTGATGTGATGGACTAGGACACATACGGCACTGCTTATGAAGGATTCTTGTTTTTTTAAAAAAATTGAAACTGAACTCGATTTAGCCTTGGATCTATACAGGGGACAGGGGAACATGTTAAATGACATGACTGGAATCCAATCAATGAGGACAAATAAGTAAAAAAAAGAGAAGGATGGGGACTGTTAAAGATTTAAGAAATGCAGTAAATTGTAATGTATGGGTGAACTCTCTGGGTTCTGATTCAAACAAACCAACTCTTTAAGAAATTTATGAAACAAGGGAAATTGGGCATTGGATATTAAAAATATTTTTAAAGTGTGTGAAAATAGTATAATAAGAGTTTTTGTCTCTTAGAGGTACATAGTGAAATGTAGTTATGGGTTGCTTCCAAATACAGTCATGTGTCACTTAATGACAGGGATATGTTCTTAGAAATGTGTTAGATGATGTCATTGTGTGAACATCGTAGATGGTATTTACACAGACGTAGATGGTATAGCCTACTACACACCTAGGCTAGATGGTATAGCCTGTTGCTCCTAGGCTGCAAACCTGTACAACATGTTACTGTACTGACTACTGTAGGCAGTTGTAACACAGTGGTAAGTATTTGTGTATCTGAACATATCTAAATGTAGAAAAGGTAATGCATTGTGCTATGATGTTACAGTGGCTATGATGTCACTAGGTGATAAGAATCTTTCAGCTCCATTTAGGCATACTTTATTGTGCTTTGCAGTTGGTGCATTTTTATAGTTTGAAGGTTCGTGGCAACCCTGTGTTAAGCAAGTCTAACTGTGCAATTTTACCAACAACATGTGCTCACTTTGTCTCTTTTTGTCACATTTTGGTAATTCTTGGCAATATTTCAGACTTTTTCATTATTATATCTGTTACGGTGATCTGTGATCAGTGATCTTTGATGTTACTATTGTAACATATTGTGGTGCCATAAACTGCACCTATATGACGGCAAACTTGATTGATTAATGTGTGTGTTCTGACGACTCCACCATCTAACCGTTCTCCCATCTCTCTCTCTGTCCTTGGTCGTCCCTGTTCCCTGAGACATGCAGTATTGAAATGAGGCCAGTTAATAACCTTATAGTGGCTTCTAAGTGTCCAGGTGAAAGGAAGAGTCGCATGTCTTTTACTTTAAATCAAAGCAAGAAATGATTAAGCTTAGTGAGGAAGGCATGTCAAAAGCCAGAGTAGGCTAAAAACTAGGCCTCTTGTGCAAAACAGCTAGCCAAGTTGTGAATGCAAAGGAAAAGTTCTTGAAGGAAGCTAAAAGTGCTACTCAAGTGAACAGATGAATGATAAGAAAGTGAAACAGCCTTATTGCTGACATGGAGAAAGTTTTAGTGGTCTGGATAAAAGATCAGCCAGCACAACATTTCCTTAAGCCAAACCATAATCCAGAGCAAGCCCTGTCTTTAATTTTGTGAAGGCTGAGAGAGATGTTGAAGCTGCAGAAGAAAGGTTTGAAGCTAGTAGAGGTTGGTTAATGAGGTTTTAAGGAAAGAAACCATCACCATAACATAAAAGTGCAAGGTGAAACAGCAAGTCCTATTGTAGAAGCTACAGCAAGTCATCCAGAAGGTCTAGCAAGATAATTGATGAAGATAGCTACACTGAGAAGATTTTACATGTAGATGAAACAGCCTTATTTTGAAAGAGATGCTGTCTAGGACTTTCGTAGCTAGAGAGAAGTCAGTGCCTGGCTTCAAATCTCCAGAGGACGGCTAATGTAGCTGGTTACTTTAGGTTGAAGCCAGTGCTCATTTGCCATTCTGAAAATCCTAGGGCCTTTAAGAATTGTGCTAAATCTACTCTACCTCTGCTCTATAGATGGAACAACAAAGCCCAGATGACAGCACATCTGTTTATATCATGGTTTACTGAATATTTTAAGCCCATTGTTGAAACTACTGCTCAGAAAAAAAGATTTCTTTCAGAATATTAATACTTGTTAACAGTACACCTGCTCATGCAAGAGCTCTGTTGGGGATGTACAAGAAGAAGAATGTTGTTTTCCTGCCTGTTAATGCAGCATCCATTCTGCAGCCTATGGATCAAGGAGTCATTTTGACTTTCAAGTCTTATTATATAAGAAGTACATTTTGTAAGGCTAGAGCTGCTATAGATAGTGATTCCTCTGACGGATCTGTGCAAAGTCAGTTGAAAACCTTCTGGAAAGGATTCAACATTCTAAATGCCATTAAGAACATTCCTGATTCATGGGAGGAGGTCAAAATATCAACATTAACAGGAATTGGGAAGAAGTTGATTCCAGCCCTCATGGATGACTTTGAGGAGCTCAAGACTTTAGTGGAAGAAGTACATAACTGCAGATTTGGTGGAACTAGCCAGAGAACTAGAATTGCAAGGGGAGCCCAAAGATGTGACTGAATTGCTGCAATGTCAGTGATAGAACTTGATTGCATGAGGAGTTGCTTTTTTGGATGAGCAAAGAAAGTGATTTCTTGAGATGGAATTTACTTTCGTTGAAGATGCTGTGACTTTTTCGAAATGACAACAAAGCATTTGGACTCCATAAACAGCGATAAAGCAGCAGGAGGGTATGAGAGGATCGACTCCAATTTTGAAAGACGTTCTATAGTGGGTAAAATGGTATCATACTGCATCACTTGCTACAGAGAATCTTTGGTAAAAAGAAGAGTCCATTAATGTGGCAAACATCGTTGCTTTCTTATTTTAAGAAATTGCCACAGGCATCCCAACCTTCAGTATCCACCACCTTGATCAGTCGGCAGCCATCAACATTGAAGCAAGACCTTCCACCAGCAAAAAGATAATGACTTGCTGAAGGTTCAGATCATCATTAGCATTTTTTTTAGCATTAAAATGTATGTTGTTTTAACTTGAGTCAGAGTTTCTGTTACCCCAGCTAGAGTGCAGTGGCATCATCATAGTTCACTACAACCTCAAACTCCTGGGCTCAAGCAATCCTCCTGCCTCAGCCTCCCGAGTAGCTGGGACTACAGGTGCGTGCCACGACGCCCAACTAATTTTTCTAGTTTTAGTAGAGAGGGGGTCTTGCTCTTGTTCAGGCTAATCTCAATGCCTGAGCTCAAGCGATCCTCCCACCTCAGCCTCCGAGAGGCTTACAGGAGTGAGCCATCATGCCTGGCCTAAAATATTTTTAAATTAAGATACGTATCTTTTTTTTATTCTTAGACATAATGCTATTTATTACACACTTAGTAGACTACAGGATGGTGTATACAAAACTTTTATATGCACTGAAAAAACAAAAAAATTTGTGTGACTTGCCAAAATGAAACCTATAGTATCTCCAAGGTATGCCTCTATAATCTTTGGGGACCACCATTGTACATGTGGTCTGTTGTTGGCCAAAATGTTGCTGTGTGGCACATGACTATAATACAATGGCGGGGGAAAAAAGTGTGCTTGTATGTATGGAGCAGGTATAAATGAAATAAAATTGGTCAAATGTTGCTAATTGTTGAACTGGATGGAGAAAATAGAGAATTTCATTTATGGTTCTATTTCCATATGTGCTTGAAGTGTCTATAATAAAAAGTAAAAAAAAAAAAAAATAGTGCCCAGACCAGGCTCTGTAAGCATGTGAGTATGTGCTCGAATGCAATAAACTGTAGAACATCTTCATTGTTAGATTTGTAGGCCTTCTTAGTTTTGTTAAAAGGACTCAGGAGTTGTGTTCTGTGTGTTTGTAGCATTAACACCCTTGTGAAGATCAGCAAAAGTGCAGGAGCCATGTTGAAACCACATGCACCAAAACTCATCCCAGCTTTGTTGGAGTCCTTAAGTGTATTGGAGCCCCAAGTTCTCAATTACTTGAGCCTCCGGGCTACAGAGCAAGAAAAGGTGAGTTGATAGTACAGACATATTGGTAACTATCATGAGGGAAGAACCCCGTTAAGATACTGAGGTCCCTTTGAATAATCCTTCCAGTGTCCTTAGACAAAGTCCATGGCTTGAATGATAATTGTTGCAAGAACGTCCCGTGACCACATGTGGTATTTAATTTTTTTGTGGAGGGAGGTTGTTAGTTCATACACTGTCTTGTGAATCAGATGAAAGCTGCCA